GTTGTCATGGTCGCGCAGACCAGGAGAAATATAGTTGGTTTCGTCTTCATCTCCGTAGGGACGGGGCACGAAAAATAAATCTATGCTCGTCCCCACGGGAAGCAGGGGGCGAGGACTGCAAAATCCGTCTTCGTGACAAGCATCTTATAAATGCACTTCGAATCTTCTCTGATTTTGTGCAAGCTGTACTTCAGGTAACATATAATCATAAGGTTCTCAGCAACTTCAACTTCATATCGCTGATGATTTGATTGCAAGACAGCCAGTTCTCTTATTCTGAAAAGATCAGTCTGCTTCGTGCACCTCACCCGCAGATATGGAAAGCTCAAGGGTTCGGGAAGCAAATGATTGTTGCTATTATTTCATGAGTGGCCAAAATGTCATTATCATTGGGATAGCCAAATCTTTCATTGGCCAACATGTTCAAAATGTCACTCAGATGGCCAAAATGTCATTATCTATTGAAACGTAAGTGTTAAAACTATAATCGCATCATCATTCAAAATGGAAATTCACAAAATTCCCTAAGACTGTTGAATTCTTTGAAGGCTGCCATCTAAAGCTACATGATTTGACAAGGGAACACAGTGAATCCAATACATAGAAAACGAAAGTAATGACCATAACAAAATTCATGTGAAACAAGTGAATATAGAGCTGCGTTCTGAGAAGAACAGTGACTTATTCGGGACAACTCACAACATGAAAGTCCCAGTCCTGCACATGGAGAAGGTGCTGTCTGTTCCGGTCCAATGTAGCCAACGGTTTGATTCCACGGTGATTGAGCAGATATCCAATCGGACAGGTCACCAAGTGGAATATTCCATGCGATAGCATCGTCCATTTTCGACGCAGGTATTTCCATTTGAAGACCGGAAAAGTAAATCTGAAGTTCTCATTCGTCAACCACCGAATCCATTGATCAGGATCAGGAAAACGAGGATTTTAGCACAAGGTTAATCAATCCATCGCTCATCATTATGAGTTGTTTTCTCACTACGGACACACCTCATACGCATAGTTCAAGACATGGCAAAGCTGTCTACTTTAGCTTCTAGTACAATTCATAAATTTACACGCGAGAGTATGATCTGGAACAATGTTGTTGAAAATGGATCGAATTGAGAACAACCGAAAGGGAGGAGAGTTGCTGATTAGTGAAGAATTTCCTGTTTTGCAGCAGTTATTAGGAAAACTCTTTAGTTCGTTTGTAATACATTCACGAGTCATCATCGCTCATCAAATGCTGTTCATTCTTCATACTCATATGATTTGTTTTGAGGGTATTTATATGAGATTTGCTGCAAAATTACTGATAGTAATCAAATAGTATAATTGTTTGCAAAGTAGAGTAGTTAGTTAAGCCGTATTATGTTCGATTTAATCGTGCCCTTTAGTTTTTAGCGAGTTGTCAGTGTTTGCGCAGTTGATGAATAGATATTGATGAATCTCATATTGAAAGTGGATCGAATTAGAAATGAAACTGGTTGTGATGAGTCTGACATGAATAAAGTTATTAATGAATGCGATTTGTGCAATTCCATCAAATGATTCGAGAAGCAACGGAGAGACGAACTAGTCAATTTGTCGAGAATGCATCAAAAGTGACCATGAACAAAATTCAAATGATTGCTCAACAGTGGGGAGTGAGGATCTCATAAAGGATTTCCAACCCACTTACGCCAATTGCTTTGGTCCTCTTATCACAACCACTATGATTTAGCGTTGATCATTAAATTATTCTATGTAATCATTATTCCATAGATTCAACAACTTAATTATAATCATTATATCTGCGTGAAAATGATGTGAGTACCTCAAAAATATCAATTCATCAACCATTTACATAGGATGGACAATTTTTGCGAATCAATCTCATATGAGGGATTTGACCGCAGAGATTCACCTACAGAGACAGATATGCCTTACATGATAGTTCCAAACATTCTGAATTTTTGATCAAATTTTTCTACAACTTTTCCGAGTAGAACAAGAGCTCAAATGGTGGTATCAGCTTGAGAGCACCGCCAGCTATTGAAAATGTCTTCGACGGAAACGCTTGAAGGATTAGTAATCCGACGGAACAAAAGTAATCTATACTTCAATTTCTGCTCAATGCCTCAATGAAAAGGCATCTAATTGTCGGCAAAGTTCAGCTATGGAAAAGTTTTTGCGTTTAGTAATTTTATTCAATTAAGATTCATATAAATCACCGCAATTTCGCGATAATTATGTTAATCATCGCACATGCAAGAGAATTTCGCGAAACAGTGAAGGTAACAATAATTAACCTTTCAATATCGATTTCAAAGATTATATGGAAGGGTAAATAATGTGTCCATTCATAGCAAATCACAAAATGCTGATCAATCTCATGGTCATGCTCACAAAAAACGACCAATTCAATTAAGCTAACTATGAAGACTGAACTGCCTAATGGTATAACAACGCAATGACTGGAGCACGGACAAGGTGGATGAATATGCTGAGAAGACGACGTATTTCAGCCTGATGAAATACATCTGCTCAAAAAAAAGAAGCAGCTGATTTTCCGGATGTTTCACTTGCTCGGCAGCACTCATTTTAATACACGGTATCTTTGTTGATCAGTTTGTACAATAACTTAGCACTATCAGGGTCCAGATCTTCAAACGATCGGTGTTCTCAGATTTGCACAGTAACACAGTGATATCTTCAGATTTATCAAATTCTCCACTTTGCGAAAATCATATATGTTGTCGGGCAATTTCGCTTACTTTCTGAGAAATAGCTGATTTTCTGAATGTATCTCACTTGCTCGGGAGCGCTCACTTCAATACATTGTATCTGTACTGATCAATATATTCATTAACTTAACAGTATCGGTTTCACTATCTTCAAACGATCATTGTTCTCAGGTTTGCCCTGTACTATGCCTCCTTCTTCACGTCATCAGATTCCACAGATTCTCTAGTTTCCGAAAAGTATATATTTTGGTGGACGATTTTGCTTACGTGAAGCGATATAGCTAATTTTCTGAAGGTA